CATGCCCTTCCAATGTTAACAGCATAGTATTTCTTAAAACAATCCACTCTTTCATCCACATCAATATTACGGCCTGATAATATAATTCCCAATTGGGTAGACCAAAGCCAGGAGGGGGCAAAGTTCAAAGCAGCCAAATTCTCTCATAACACCATCCCCATTGCTTTGGGGGTTTCTGCTGCACACTTGTGAAGATGAGGAGAGGCTCTCGGTTCATTTAAGGATCTTCTGTACAATAGAAAGGTGTAGCACAAAAGAGTTTTCTGTACAAAAGGAAGGTACAGCAGTATTGGGAAGCTTATGTTTTGTCCATAATCTTAGTCATAATAATAACATTATTTTAAAGTTGAACAAATTCCAATTAGTGTGAAGAATTTTTATGGAACTAAACATTTCAGCTGACATCTGCACGTGTGCATCCCATTTTGCTAAACTGTAGTACAGAAATATGATTTGTAATTATTCTTTCTTTACTTAATGTTTTGTATTCCATGTAGTCTTGTTAACAATTTGATTTTTAATATTTTGCACCTTGGCCTAGTGGTTAATCAACAATATATTATTCTAATATATATTCTAATATATTCACAATATATTAGAATATACAATATACTAGAATATATTATATTATAATATATTCACATTGATTTATTACAAGATAATATTTAGGCCTTGATCTGACCCCAAATATAACACAACAGTCTTCATTGCTTTTTCAGATCAGTGAGAGAATTGCTTCAGAGGATCTGAGTGATAAAAGTCAATTCCCTTTTTTCCATCGGATACTCCCCAAAAATGGGTTCCTCTACCCAGGAATTGTCCAACTGCTCCTCCATTTTGGATGGAGTTTGATTGGTCTCTTTGCTTCAGACACAGAGAATGGAGAGAATTTCATGAGGAGATTTACTCCTATGCTTATCAGGAATGGAATTTGTGTTGTCATATCTCAACTATTCTCAACAACTGGACACACAATGCCTATCACACATGCCTTCTATAAGTGGAAACAAGTCAATGTCTATGTTCACTTCATAGAATATGTTTCCATTTTTGACAGAATTCTTCCTTTCCATTCAGCATTTGAAAGTTTGATAGGACCCATCCAACAGAAAGTCTGGATCATGACAGGCTTGGGAACATATTCAATGAAAAGACACAGACTTCTCAAATACATTCATAGTATTTGGACCTTTGCTTTTCAGGTGGAAGAAAGGACAAAAGATTCTGCCTTTGAACCCTATTTCTTTGTAGATCCACAGTTTGAAGATCAGTCTTTTCGCTGTTCTTTTTCAAAGCATGTCTTTTCTAAAAAAGGCCGGAAAAGATGCACCCAGAAAGCATCACTAGAGACCCAAAACCAAAGGAACAGAAGACGGATAAAAAATGCTGACTATGCTTTCAGTATCGTTATGACTCTGGCTCGTGTCCTTAACGCTGCGTATTTCTCCAGATCCAGGAGCAGAAGGAAGGAGGGCAAAGAGAGTTTGGCGGCTACAAGGCTGCAGCCTTGGCAGGTATGATGCCCCAACAAGGGTCTATCAAAACTAGTTCCTTTGGAGAATGAATCCAAATGAGGAGAGGAACCATCTCAACCTCTTCATGTTACAAGAGGCCAACTGATTTGCCAATCTAATTGACCAGGGGATAATTTTCCAAAGAGTTTATGCCATGACAGAACAATGTTGACGTTGTACTATTGATTCTAAAAGAATGTATGAATATTAAAATACATTCTTGTATCTATGATTTTGTGACTGCCATCATAGGGTTTTACCTTTATAAATTTAAAGGAGCTTCTGAGACCGCCTAGGAAAATCTCTCCTCCCTGCAGGAATTCAAGTTAAGGCTTCTCTTATTTATGGCTGCTCTGTCTTTGCATAAGGACCACCCTTTTAAGGAAAACTGAACTTCTCTGCTTTACTGGCTCAGTTCTAAAACTGTTCCACCTTTTAGGATGCCTTTTCTCTCATTTAGCCAGAATCTCTTTTCTTTTGATAGCCTATATTTCCATGTCCAACAGTCTGGAACAATAGTGAACACAACTGAAGGTGAAGGTGAAGAGTCGTTCTCCGAGCTTGTGGGTTGGTTTCCGTATGTTTTGTTACCAGGCTGGGCAGCGGTGGGATTTAACTTTTTTTCTCACCATTTCTGTGGGCATGGTTTGGTAGACGCGCTTTGCGCGCATGCAAAGGGTTTGATACTGACGTTCTGCAATCCTGCATTTTCCCTGTGTCTTCAATCAGCTGACACGCGGCAATCCGCTGTCCCGTGTGAAGCAGCTGACTGCTTCTTGGGGTAAGAAACCAAGGTATCTGCTTTTAAAATTCCTTCCATTCTAGTTCCTTCCATTTCTGGAGAAGAATGAGTTTTGCAATCTTTCCCAGAGGAAATTGTACTTGGACCAAAATGGAGATGTAGCAGCAGATCTCAACATTGGGAGCTTGTTGGTTTTCTCCATGAATGATACCATATTACAGAAAGTGGGGAGTTTTGAAAGGCAGAGACTTGTTATCTACCAAAATGCTCTGTTACGGCTACAGTTACTCAACAAGGTGGGCGGAATGTTGCATTCTATCCTGTTTTCAACATCTTAGGATCCATTCCAAGCATGCTGAGTCAGAAATTTCTTTCTTCATCAATTTTGTTTTCAATAAAATGCATATTTAACAAACAAAAAAATTAGAATACACTTTATTGCAAAATTTAGTATAAATACATCATTGGATCATTAGCATACAACAAATGCTGACATGAAAAGTGCCCAGTTGGACAGATGCTGCATTTGATCACAAAAGATGGTGCTTGTTTGTCCTGAAACCTGCACCTGCAGACACGAGGAGGAGAAGGAGGAGGAGGAGGAGAATAAGAAAAAAAAGAGGAGGAAAAGGAGGAGGAGGAGGAAGAGGAGGAAGAAGAGGAAGAGAAAGAGGAAGAGGAGGAAGAATAAGAAAAAGAGAAAGAGGAGTAAGAGAAGGAGAAGGAGAAGGAGGAGTATAAGTAGATCATTATAGTTTTAAAACATGGATAGATAAAGAATGGAGGAATGCATATTAATAAGGCCTTAATGGTTGGAACTTTACATAGTTCCATCACTCCAGATTTTCTTAAATGGTAAATTACTTTCTTGTAATATAATCCTTAAAAACATTTGGAACTAGTGAGAAATTTCATACGTACGTAATTGAAGCCCAGAAGCAATTTGGCTACTGATCATGTCTACATCCATTCTTCAAGGATGGTGAATCTTAACATATTTTCTTTGGCATTCACTGTTTCCGTGCTTAGTCTCTGCCGCAGTCCAAATGTGTGGAAAATTGTCATCCTGGATTTGTCAAGCGGGCACAACAAGGAGAGCCTGTGTGCTGCTATGACTGCATTCGTTGTCCAGAGGGGACAATCTCCACTCAGGAAGGTGGGTCACAATGAAAAAAAAAGGACAGGGCTCATGAAAGAAGAATTATCCAGAGCATGATGATGAAAGTGGAAGTTAAAATGTAGATTGAAGTTCAAATGTTTGTTGTTGCTGTTTATTTTCAAGCTGCACATTTTCTTATCAAAGTGGAAGGAAGGCAGAAAGAAATTGAAGGAGGGGCTAGGAGAAGAGGGTGTGGCAAATTGGGCAAGCTTTACTTACTGCCAGAATAAATGTCTCTTCTACTTTATAGTTGAGATGTGACATGCTACATTTACCTTCGGGAAATACCTGATTTCTTCAGGAATTATCTTAGGTTCACCTCCTGGGAGCATTATTGCAATACGTACTATATGGTACTTCCATTTAGGGTCATTGTGAAGGTATTTCTGGTCCACGATGAAGTGTTGTGGATGTCAGGATTCCAGCAGTTATCTCAATTAAATCATGAATCTCGAGCCAAACTTCAAAAACTTCAAAAAGATTTATTGGGAGTTAACATGTCCCACTACACCCACTGCCTGGGTGTACCTGACTCTGAGACACACAATTCATTGTCACCCTTGACCCTGGTTTCCCCCCACCCCCTGGGTGTATCATAATTCATATTCTCCAATGAGACACATCCATAGCCAAGAATCATCAATCATGTCCTCCTGTTAGAATTCTGCATGGCAGAAATTTCAGTCACCTAGTTACTTTCTTGGAAAACTACTTATGGAATGCACTTTTGGTTTCCAAGCTTCCGCACTGCTCTTTCAAACCCCTTTCCCCCCTCCCTTTCGATGGCAACTCTAAAAAGACCATAGAAATATTTTATGAGTTGACAGTGGACAGTTATGGGTGCACCTCATACCACATATACTACCACTGCTCCCATTAGCCATTCTGAATTATCTGCAGGGCCAGCTTTATCTGCCAGCAAGTAGATTTCAAAAGATAGGCATCCTTTGAGTCCAGTATATTAAAAATTGCCACCTGGCAGGACTGAGAAAGAAAGATTAAATGGCTCATTATTTACATTATATTTAATAATATTGGGTGCTAGCAAAGTATTCAACATTAAGCAGAAAATAGCAAAAGCACGGACTTAAATATGGCTTCAGGGCCCTCTCTAAGCGGTTTATACTAGAGTCAGCCTATTGCCCCCAACAATCTGGATCCTCATTTTACCAATCTCGGAAGGATGGAAGGCTGAGTTAACCTTGAACCTGGTGAGATTTGAACTGCCAAATTGCAGTCAGCTAGCAGTCAGCAGAAGTAGCCTGCAGTACTGCATTCTAACACTGTGCCACCACGGCTCTTATCATTCAGGTTCTCGGACTTCCCTCAATTTCTTAGACCTTAGCCATAAAGTTTTTAGAAAAAGACGTTATCTTTCTGTGGAGATGCTAATAAATGGATCTTGGAAAATGTTCCTATTAACAACTTTTCTCCCCAAACTGATATTTCTTGAAAGGTAATAGAATATTTTTTCAAAAAATATTTTTCCAGATACAGAAATATGCACCAAGTGTCCAGATGATAAATATCCAAATGAGATCCGAGTCCAATGTATCCCCAAAGTTATAACCTTCCTGTCTTATGATGAACATCTGGGCATCATCCTGGTCTCTCTTGCCCTACTCTTGTTCCTAATCACAGCATTTGTCTTAATTATATTCATTAAATATCGAGAAACTCCCATTATCAAAGCCAATAACCGGGACCTCTCTTACATCCTCTTGATTTCCCTCCTGCTTTGCTTCTTGTCCTCCTTTTTCTTTATTGGCCAACCAAGGAAAGCCACCTGTCTTCTTCGACAAACAGTGTTCAGCATCGTTTTCTCAGTTGCTGTTTCTTCTCTCTTGGCCAAAACAATCACAGTGGTGCTGGCATTCCTGGCCACAAAACCAGGAAACCGAGTGAAGAGATGGTTGGGGAAAAGCTTGGCCAATTCCATCATCCTTTCTTGTTCTGCCGGCCAAATTATCATCTGCTCCATCTGGCTGGGAGTGTCTGCCCCATTCCCTGACTCTGACCTTCACTCCCAGCCTGGAGAGATCATCCTGCAATGCAACGAAGGATCTGTTCTCATGTTCTACATCACCCTCAGCTATCTTGGCTTCTTGGCTGCCATCTGCTTCACAGTGGCTTTCCCGGCCAGGAATCTGCCAGGGGCCTTCAATGAAGCCAAGCTGATCACCTTCAGCATGCTGGTCTTCTGCAGTGTCTGGGTGACTTTTGTGCCCACCTACCTGAGTACCAAAGGGAAATACATGGTGGCTGTGCAGGTCTTCTCCATCTTCTCCTCCAATGCTGGGCTGCTGGGCTGCATTTTCATTCCCAAGTGCTTCATTATCATTCTGAGGCCAGACCTGAATACAAAGGAACAGCTAACAACCAGAAAAAAGGTAGAAATGTGAGCCAGAGGAATTTTAACTTTCAACATTTTCCAACTGTCCACATCTAGAAAGTAGTCCAAGTTGTTTTCCGTACATGAGGAGATCAACAATTTTGGTGGAAATATTTAAAAGTGATTGGAAAATATTGTCCCCAACCTTGTACAATAAAATTCTAAGATATCCATTGAAGTTTTTTTAAATCCTCAAGGTGCCATATCTGTCCAGTGGCCTTAGAATGCCACACCCAGATTTTTGAGACATGATACTTGTGCAATGGGAATCTTGTTGATATGCCAGCAATATATAGCGGGGTTAGGTGGGACGTTCTAAAAATTCAAAATTTTAGTTGTGTTTTTTAGGGACAAGATCCTTTCAATCCCCACCAAGGAAGAATCTAAATCATCTTTTTGTGACTTTCTTGTTTAGCCTTCCTCTGAAAAATAGTGTTTGAAACAAGGAAAATGAAATGCTTTTTCTACAAACTGTGTAATAGAAGCAGAAGGGGCCTGAATGCCACTGAATTTTGTTCTCCTAAAAAACAGAGTTGATCTGAAAAAGAATGAAAAGATGACATTAACAACATGCAATAGTGTGAGCTGCTTTTTTCACAGAAAAATAAAAATATTATAGACATGGCGGTTGTTATGAAGAAGCAAGTTGTCAGGACTCCAGTAGTGACCCCCATTTAAATCATGAGTCTCTAGCCTGAATTTCAAAGCTTGGAGAAGATTTATTAGGAGAAGACATGCCAGTGCTACCTGGGTGTAGCCGACTCTGAGACACATCATTCATTGTCACCCTTGACCCTAGTTTCCCCCACCCCCTGGGTGTATCATAATTCATATTCTCCAATGGGACACATCCATAGCCAAGAATCATCAATCATACTCTCCAGTTAGAATTTTGCATGGCAGAAATTTCAGTCGTCTGGAAACTATTTATGAAACAGCCATGGAATGCAGTTTCATTTTTTTAGCTGCTACACTATTCCCCCCTCCCTTTCTGTTGGAAACTCTAAAAGGCCACAGAAATATTTTATGAGTTGACACAAGTGTAATAGAAACTTTGGCTCAGGGATTGCTTATCTTCTCATTCTGCTCAGATGTGGCAGCTGTTCCTAGTGTCCCCTACAGCATGGGAATTAGGCTGCAGAACATTATACATATACCTCCTGGATTTTGTAGGAGGCCAGCATGGTGGCAATCTAAGAGGAGATGTTAGTCTTAGTCCCTTCATGGACTGTCATGCCCCCGTCAGAGCCTGAATCTGTGGAGGAGGACGAGTCAGAGCTGGGGCTGACAGAGGTCAAGGGGGTGGCCTTGTTGGCTTCAGAGGAATTCCAGGAGGAGCAGGATGAGGAAGCCTCGAACCCCTCAGGTTTGGGATGGCTTGCTAGCAGGGAGGAACAGGGGCAGGATGGCTGAGAGAGGGCAGGCAGTGGAAATGAAGAGTGATGAGCAAGGACCGCATCCTCCTGATCCCAGAGCACGGAGAGTGGAGAGAAGGCAGGAACAGTACAGGCTGACCTGATGACTCGGGAGGAGAGCACACCCCCCCCTTCTTCACAAGGCACACCCTGGAACTCTTCTAATAAAGTCTAATATAAACTAAATTAAAACAGAGAAAACCAAAAATAAAGTCTGAAATATTTTAAACTCTCTGTCTAAAGTTACATTGTGGCTTTCTTTTTTCTATAATCTATCCTGTCTAATCATGAAAATCATAAATCGCACATTCATTTTTGTGGACTTTTTATGCAAAAAGTCGTTAAGTGTGTTCCAGTCACCAATAAATGTAGATATTATCCGTTCTCTAATCAAAGATGTCAGTTTGTCCATCTCGGCAAGTTTGACAATTTCACCAACCATTCCTCAGTGGTGAGTAGTGCTGAATTCTTTCTAACTTTGTACATATAGTAATCTTGCGATCCTGTGACACTAATGATACATTGAAATAATCTTCCATGGCATTTTTCTCATGGTTTTATCCATCAATCCTCAATCCTGCAATCACTTTGCAGTTGTTTATGGAGGCCTCTCCCTTTCACAATTACTCAGTGCATTTTTTTCCTAAAATGGCAACACCTAACAATATTCAGGCCCTTTACTTTTCCACACTACAATTTGTAAGTAAAGCATCTCCTTGTTCCTATTCCAAACATGGTTTGTCTTTGACAGACCAGGCAAAATGTCCAGAGAAAGAGGAACTGGAGCCTCTCTCCCAGGAAGAGACCCTCTCCATGGACAACCATGTCATTTAACTCCCATTCTGGACTGTGGCACAGGCCTTAAGAGCTGTGTATTCATCCAGGACCACAAACAATCTTGTAGTCAGGCACTGAGAGTAAAAGCCCAGGTCTGTAAAATGGGAATAGATTCAAAAACAAGACCAGATGTTCCCAAGAATGGCCCTTCCTCTCCACATCACCACCAGGATGCTTCTGCTGCCCCAGGGGTGTCAAACTGTATTTCTCCAAGGGCCGGATCAGCATTGTAGTTCTCCTCTACGGGCTGGCGGGGGGGGGGGGGGGGGGACGGATACCTTCTGCAGCACTCTGCTGGCTGAAAATGGGCCTGTTTTGGGCCCATTTTTTTGGCTATTTGGGACCCATTTTGGCCCGTTTTGGGGCTGTAGGAAGTTAGCCCCCATCCCTCTCCTAGAAAAATGAAATATCCTAGGAAATATTAAAGAAGCAGAATATTTCCCCTAAAAAGTGAAGTAGAAACTCAGAAGCAGAAACTCACCTCAGAAGCAGAAGCTCACCCCCACCTTTGTTAATGGGCGGGCCATTAAGGCATGGGCCAGAGTATTCTACATAACAAAGGCCTCAGCCCATCTCACCACTTGGCCTGGGAAGATTTCATCAGCCAGCACTTAGGTGAAGCCATGTGGTCCAAAGCCTACAAAGTTAGCTAAGACCCCTGCCCCCGGGAGTCTGACAGCCAATGGGATACATTTTTTGCACAGGAACAGGAAACACTAAGATGGTACCCAACAGAGGGTATATAAGGGTCTCTCAGCATCTTGGCCTTCCCTTCTCTTTTCACCTTGAAGCATGTGATCATCCACTTTGGAACTCCAAGCCATGTGGTCCTGTCCACCATTAAACCAGTTTTCCAAACAGCCTCCATGTTTCCAGTGTCTTTTTCCCCACTTGGAACTGAACCCAGAAGGATAAGTCTTCCAACAGGGCCAGCTTTCGTCCCATTTTTCAGTCATTTGGGGCCCATTTTTGGCCCATTTTAAGCCTGTCTTGGGCCTGGGTTCCAGACCAGTTTCGGTCAGCAGAGTGCTGGAGGGTGAAAATGAGGCACACGGCCCATTTTAGCCACTAGAGGTACTGCGGGCATTGATATTTCCAGGCTAGTCCCATGGGCTGGGTTTAAGCAACCTGCGGGCCTTGAGTTTGACACCCCGTGCTACCCCCTCTAACTCAATCACCCAGCTCTCCCTTCTATACCAAGGTATGTATATCAATGTACCTTCTCTCCAAACAAGAATCATAATTTTTCCGACAACTGACCCAGATACATCAGGAACACTCCCAACCACCCCTTTCAAGATCTTGGCATCTTGGGATGGGAATTACACACAGCCTCAGAGATATAAAAGTCAAAGAGTCCCACCACCATGGAGTGCATCCACACAACCAGAAGAAAGGAAATCATGTCTCTTCAAACTGGTGTTTGGTGGATGTGGCAATGAATTGGTCTCAAGGAAAACAAATATATTTGTCCTATATCTTTCTCCATATTTACACAATGAAAAACATTCAGTGTTCAGTGTTTGTTAGTCTAGTGGTGTGGGATTTTATTGACCTAAAGCGCCGTCCAGACGGCAGCAGGTGAAAAAGATAATTGCCAGGGTGTGAGGGATCTTCTATGATGGCCTTGATTCTGCTTTGGCAGCGGGACCTGGCTAAGTTTCTTCCCAGAAAGAGAATCCTCATTCGGTCCTGTTTCTAGTCCGCTCCCCCTCTGGCCCCTCTCAGAAGGGACCCCAAAGCGTGGATGGGACTCTACTGCCTCACCCCCCCCACACCAGGAGAGCCCCTCTAGGAGCAGGACAAGGGCGACCCCTCCAGATCTCAGTCCAGTCTACCTGGGCACCACCAAGCATAGTTCCTTCCTCAGTTTCAAAGCGAAGGTTGTGGGAAAGCAGCGTTTGCTCGGGATCAGGTCAGCTCACGAATCTCCTGGCTGCCTTCACCCGACCCCTCCGCCTGGGTTGCCTCTCCTGCCTTTGGGGTGAGGGCTCGGGGGCTCTTGGGGGCTTCTGGTGCTGGGAGGACCCGGCTGGTTTCTGGGGGGGGAGGCAGCAGAGTCCCATCCACGCTTTGGGGTCCTTTCTGAGAGGGGCCAGAGGGGGAGGGGGAGTGGACTAGAAAGAGGACCGGTTCGGTGTTTTGGGAGATGCCGAGGCTGGTGCCATTGAAGCGTCGGGATAAGGCTGCCCTGTGGATGCAGCAGGAGAAGAGCCTGGAGAGAAACGCTCCTTGAATAATGTTTCTAAAGGGCCACCTTTAGGATGCTCACTTTCTCCTCGCTCCTAAAACCCCAATAGCCCCAGAGCTTTTTTCTATGGCAGGCAGGGATTTTACCACCCAAAATCCTCCTTCTTCCATTTCAGGAGCGCTCAGCATGGGTCAGTCCGCAGAATCCAAAATATTTAAAATGTACTATTATTCCTTAGGAATCAGGAAGGGGCCTTGGGGGTGTTTCCTAGCTGTTTGCTCTGAGAAACTTATCAATGGAGCAGCTTTTCAAAAGGCACTAAAAAACCTGTCAGGATCTTAAGGTCAAATCGGGTGGGTTGGAGGCAGAAGAAGAGAAGAACCTCTGGAGGCTGGGCATGAAAAGAGTGGCTTGCTTGGACACAGTCAGGCCCAAACTGACCTGAAGAGGATTCGTGGATTCGTGGATTCATGGCTGTAACCTGCCTTAGATTCACACGTTTCTCTTCTTAGGCAGACTTCAGACTTCCTCACTGTTCAGCCCCACAAGGGAAATGAGCCAGTTCCG